TGAGGCAATTAGCGGAAGATTGCTCAGATCTGTCATGGCTGACTCGGGGTTTGGCGATTCGGTGTTGTTTGAGCCAACATCCTTTATTGCTGCCGAGTTGGTTTTCGTCTCTCCTGGTTTGAAGCAGGTGCAAGTAAAGATTTAGGGTCTCGGATCGCTGGGGCAGGCGGCGAGGGGTTAGATACCAAATTCTTTTTTGTTGCTAGGTTTGGGACAAGAAGGAGGTGGTGAGTCCAGTTATTTTCGGTTTGGTCTTGTCCGGAAAGGGTGTTGCGGGTTTGATCTGTCTGTGATTCTAGGGATTCGGTCCGGATTCGTTAGCTCCGGTCGAGAATTGGAATCGCTGAACGTGGAGCAAAGTAGTCCCCTTTGTTTACGCCGGAGTTACTTGACGGAAGCCGATGTCTTCGGTAGCTAAACCTGGATCCGAGCCTCACTTCCGGGTAGCTGATCTGTTATTTCTTTTCTTTTTTTGGTAGCCCTGTTGGGCCTTGTAGCCCGCTTTGTCACAGCCCATTAAGGGGTTAATAATTTTAAAAAAAAAAAAAAAAAAAAACCTTGGAATGCTGTATACTGATCTATGTTTAAATAAAATGTTTAAGTTGACGACAAATATATATATATATATATATATATATATATATATATATGAGACAAGAAAGTACCGGGCATGAGAATTCAAACCAACGATTACTAAACAACCTCATAAACCAGTGATTACCAAATCTAAGCACTAAAAACTGTGAAGCAACTAACGTTGCATATGTGACAATCATAAAGTGCGATTATGCGATTAAATTAATCATTTGAATTATGTGAAAATCATAAAGTGCGATTATGAGATTAAATTATGTGAATTTAATGGGAGTATCTCTATTGTGTATTAATTATCATATGTTCTAGTTTTTGTTACTTATTCAGGTAAAAAAAATTAACATTTAGGAAGTAATCAAAAATAATTCAGGAATAGATTAATGAAATTCATGATGATCTTCATGAACAAAGTTAATTAGAAAAACGTTTTAAAAAAAGTGTCTAATATATATATACACAGATTGGTAACTTTGGATATGATGAATTTGTTAATATATTGTTTATGTTTTTGCACATAGATAAATGTTAGGTATGAATTAAACACTCGTAATTATGTTGGGTATGAAATGGCCAATTTTCCCACTATAAGACATAATCTTGTAAGACATACAGTGACATGAGGTGACATGAGTGGGTTTTTCTTAAGATTTAAAATTGTAAATTTGTATTTAAGCAAATAAATGATGTTACTATAGTGAAAAATATGTCTTTTATTTAATTTATTTAATTTTTTTTTTATAGTTGTATAGTTTAAAAAGGTTATAACATGTAGACTAGTTGTGAAAAGAGGCTAGTGCAAATTATGCAATTTAACAATACTGTGATATGTCTACTTATCTATTTAACACGGGAAAACGGGGAAAATCAACCCAAACTATTTTCCGAAGGTATTTTCATACCCAAACTCGCGTACTCTGAATTTTACAATCCAAACCAGCTTTCAATTCAAATAACCAACCTGAACTATATCAAATTTTATCGATTTCAACCTCGACGTTAACCGTATCCCTGCCCATCTTGAAGATTTGGACAATCAAGCTTAAGCTTAAGCTTATCATGTGCAATTGTGCATACAAATATTATTCATGTAATTAAATATCTTAGCACATAATATATCATTAATATGAATAGTATTAGCATTAATTTAACAAATAATATGTAGTTATCGCGATAACAGTTATTTTAACATGTTTAAAAATAAGTTATCGAATGCTAAAAATAAGTTTATTTAACACACATATTCTTATCGAATGCTATGAATATTATCTTGCAAATAATCATTAAATAAGATTGTTATTATCATATATCTTACACATTTTCATGCTTTATCGTATACAAAATATCTAAAAAATATAGTATACATATCATGTTAACACAATATTACATTTGTTAGTCATTAATTTATAATCTATCATATAAGGACTTAAAATCACCATTAATGACCCCAGCCAAAGAATGAGGAGGCGTGAATGAGGTTAGTTGTGGTAGCGACGATTGAAAGATAATAATCATCATCTTTATTCCTATTTCCAAGAACAAAATCGTTCATAAAGATTTCATTCTCTGCACAAATAATGGATCAGTATACTAGTCTATATTATAGACCTAGGGACATAAACGTCAGAAAAAAATAGAACTAATTAAGAAATTATAAGGATAGATATTGAATATATTTTTTTAACTGACCCCTTGCATTATAGTTTCCCAATGTAAATCTATACTATTAATTGGGAAGCACAACAAGAAGCCAAACAGCCCCCAATTTTTTAAAAAAATGTCATGAAACTTAAACAAGTTGCCAAACAAAATTAATGACAGCAAAATCTTTTTAAAAAATAAATAAATAATAAAAAACAGAAACAACCTATATTTATGGAAATCATATTAATTTTGTTGCCAAAAAAGTGGACAATTAAATTCGAAAAATTTACATATGTAACATATTTATTTTTTGAGATATTTTTATACAATAATTTAATATTTAATAAAATCTAATTTATTGTATTTTATTTATTTGGTTTAATGGTTTTATTCAAGTGGTTTATGTTACATTTATTTTGTATATCTCTTATGATATGATAATAAATTTATTTTGCCTTACGAAAATCATCATATATTTAAAACACAAAAATAAATATGTTATATATTGTACAATAGCATAAAATATGGAGAGAAATATTCAAGAAAATTGATAATATAATAAAAAAATGATAAAATCTTAATAAAATTTTTAAAATGTTTAAATAAAAATATTAAATAAATCAATAATGAAAATTTGTTTTCAAAAATCAATAGAATAAATATTTTATATCACATACAATCTCCTTTCACATTAAAAATCTTCATATTGAAAAACAATCTCGCAAATATAGCAAAACAAAAACACTTTTTGAGATATATTGATTAGAAATAATATATTAACCCTCAATCTTGCTGGATATTAACTAATATGCAATTAG